GAGCAAATGTGGAAGTGAGACGGCTGACGCTATCGCTGAGATCGTTCGAGCGAGTGGATGATGTCCGAAAAATTTACAAGCGGATATGGGGAAGGAGTTTTACAACGCCGATGCACAGAAAATCTTGAAAACCACGACGTTAATCACTATTCCACGTATTCGACGTTGAAAGCGTCAGTGGTCGAACGGTTCAATCGCACGCTCAAGAACGACGTGTGAAAGATGTTTACACTCAACGGTAGTTACGAGTGGGTCGACGAGCTGCCGCGTCTCGTGTCAGATTACAACGCGCGCAAGCATCGCACTATCGGCATGCGACCCGCCGACGTACTCCCGCGATCGCCTAAAGACTCTTGGGCACAGTGTACAGCGCGATAAAGATCGTGGGTCCGGCAAAATTCAAAATAGGCGATTCGATACGAGTGAACAAGTACAAGACGGTTTTTGAGAAGGATTACACGCCAAATTGGACCAATGAGGTGTTTACGATCGTTAAGGTGTAACGTACCAATCCCGTAACCTATCTACTCGAGAACTGTCGCGGAAAATCCGTCGTTGGAGCGTTCTATGAGCACGAGTTGCATCGCGTTACTCATTTGGACGTCTCTATCGTCTATCTCGTGGAGAAAGTACTTCGCAGGAGGGAAGACAAGGTGTACGTCAAGTGGCTGAGATTCGATGGATCGCACAATTCGTGGATACACAAAAACAATGTCATTTGATAAAATTTTGATTCATTTATTTTGTATAGATATAAGAAATATATCAATACAAACGTGTAAAGTATTTTTTTTTATTATCCCTACCATCTTCGTTTTTGGAGTATATAAAAAAATAGTTGATACATGAAATGAAAAATAGTAATACATAATAACTGGTATTACATAAAACATAATAGTAGAGATGACATGAAAGTTGCGTTCCTTAGTTCTAACAAATTGAATAAATTCATAAAGGTGCAGAAGGACAGGAAACCGAATAACTTGAAGAACAATGTCGTTTATAAAATCATGTGCAATGATTGTGATGCTTCATATGTTTGACAAACGAGTAGACAACTAAAAACTAGGATCTCAGAACACCGTAATCATTATTCGTTGGAATACGTCTACTGGTTCTGTAATCACTAAACATAGGTTGCAAAATGCACATGACTTCGATTGGGATAATATCAAGATTTTGGATGAAGAGCCGTGTTACAATAAGCGCATGATTTCCGAAATGCTTTATGTTAAAACAAAATAACAGCCTCATTCTTCAAACGGACAGAGAAGGCCTTCATAAAACGTATACGACAATTATAAACAAGATATGACTTTGCATTTTGCGAACGGCTCGTCAATTTATTGAGTGTTTGTTAGATGTAGAGAGACAGTCACAGCGTGAAAATGCGTTTTACTGAGAACTTTGTTTGTGAAGTTTCGATAGATCGGATTTATTGAAATGATTGTGGTATACACTATTAAGATTTTAAGACTATTTTGACTCTCACAATATTTTATACGATTGTAATTTTCTTGACGGGACATATTCTTGGCTAAATGTGTGAGGTGAAATGAACTGGTGAATGTTTTTAGTAGAGACGTGGCATCCGCGTGTTTGGACTATGTACCGGAAAATGTACAGTGTCAGTTATCATTGGTTTTATAATAATTTTTTGATTAGGTGTTCTAAGGTTTAATTTTAAATACTAGATTAATTTTTTATTTTCATTTTTTGGATTAAGTTGGCATATTTTTACATATAGGTGATCAATTTTTCATACAAGTTTTATGCGTTCTCATTTAAAGAAAAAATTTTTAATTGTAATTAATTCTCAATCTTAACTTGTTTTTATCATTACGATTAATCAGAATTTCATGACATGGACAATTGACTGACTAATCATTTGAGGATGGATCATGATCTCAGTGAAGCACTCCATCAGGTCAAAAGGATACAATTGTTAACACGTTTGCGAGATTTTAACAACAACCACGTTTTTTTTGTATGGTACAGGGGTAGTTATAAGAAACTTCTTGTAATCTGAAGATGGCTCAATTCGAGAGCCGAAACATGTTATTATTATTATATATAATCTTTCAAATAATTTGTTAAGGAATGCTTATGTACATTTTGAATTTTTAAATACCAGGTATGTAAATATGAAACCGGAATTTACCAATAGATGGCCATAGCTGTCAATGTAGTTGCCGTCAGACCGCGTCATTGACGTCATTTCTTTGTTCTGACATCTAACAAAGATTTTCAACTCACAACAATACAAGTTTCATACAACAGTATAGTTTGTAATAGCGTTGAACATGTCGAATTTTGTGCCTGGAAACTCGTCCGATTTGCGGACAGCATTGATTTTCTGTTACCATTTGAAAAAAATTGCTGCAAAATCGCATCGAATGCTTGTCGAAGCTTACGGTGAGCATGCTCTTGGTAAATCACAGTGCTTTGAGTGGTTTAAAGAATTCAAAAGTGGCGATTTTGACGTGAGAAACGAAGAACGTGAAAAACCACCGAAAAAGTTTGAAGACAGCGAATTGCAAGCATTGTTGGATGAGGATGACGCTCAAACTCAACAACAACTCGCGGATCAATTGAATATGACACGAGAAGCCGTCTCCATACATTTGAAATCCATGGGAAAGATCCAGAAGATGGGAAAATGGGTTCCACATAAACTGAATGAAAGACAGCAGGAAAATCGAAAAACCACTTGCGAAATGCTGCTCGCCAGGTACAAAAGAAAGTCATTTCTCCATCGAATTGTGACTGGCGATGAAAAGTGGATATATTTTGAGAATTCTAAGCGTAAAAGACCATGAGTAACTCCAGGCGAAACATCGACATCGACTGCAAGGCCAAATCGCTATGGATGGAAGACAATGCTGTGTGTTTGGTGGGATCAGAAAGGTGTGATCTATTATGAGCTGCTAAAACCTGGCGAAACCGTTAATACTGAACGCTACCTACAACAAATGAACGATTTGAATCAAGGTTTGCGTGAAAAACGATCGGAATATCAAAAAAGGCAACACAAAGTGATTTTGCTTCATGATAATGCACCATCACACACAGCAAAACTGGTCAAGGAAACGATTGAGGCGTTCGGTTGGGAAATACTTTCGCATGCGGCTTACTCACCAGACTTGGCTCCGTCCGATTACTACCCGGGTAGAACTTTAAAAGGGGTCATATACAGGCTCTAGATAGTTTTTCCCCATTTCTGTCTAGGCCCCATTCAGGCAAGTCCGATTAGGCCCTGTACAGAGATGTAACGCTCATCCAAATTAGAGCCCGATTTGTAAATTTGGTTAGGCCCTATCTGGATACGCCTAACTAGGCCCTATCTGGATACGCCTAACTAGGCCCTATCTGGATATGCCTAACTTATTGGCCCTGTCTGGACACGCCTAATTAGGCTCTGTCTGGACATCCCTAACTAGGTCCTGTCTAGACACGTTTAACTAGGCCCTATCTGGATACGTCTAAGTAGGTACTATCTGGACACGCTTAACTGGACAGGCCCTATATTGGCTAAAGTAGGCCCTATCCTGGCAAGCTTAATTACGTCCTATTTTGGCATGTGTCACTAGGCCCTTTCATGGAATGCCTCACTAGACCCTATTTTGGAATATCTATATGTATAATTAAGTTCTTTATTATTACACTTAACAATAAGGTGCTACGTTGGATTGTCCGACTAGGCTTTATAATAAATGTAATTTTTTGTTAGCATGTGTGCTTATCAAGATCGTTGTAATTCTGACTTTATACTAAAATACCATAATTATTTAATCATGTATATTTACTTATTAGATATACAGGGTGTTTGAAAATTATCGGAACGCCTGTCACGAGCAGGTAGAACGTACCGAACTGAATCGAAAATTCTTATATCATTTTGTAGTTTGCGCAATAGTTAACGAGATATTAACGTTTAAAGATAGCGGAATATGCACGTCCGTCCGGCCTACGATTGCCGAAAGAACAACCCACCGAGCGCACGGCGCGTGGGCCGCGAGGAGCGGTTTTCCTTCCTAGGCCCTTTCTAGGTCCAACAATGGCAAGCCTTGTTAAAGGCACTCACGTCAGTGCCCATTCAAGGTCTGTTTAGGAAATTCCATCCAGAATTTTCCTTTCTAGGCCCTTTCTAAGCCCAACGATGGCAGGCCCTGTTAGGGGCACTCACGTCAATGCCCATTCAAGGTCTGTGTTCGCGCGTTCTTGTTTATCGACTAAATGTATTATCTAATTTGCCGCGCTCATCTTACCGCGCTTTCGTTAGAAGTACGAATGGCGAGCACAGCGGCGCTACCTTCGAAGAGGAGTTCAGGGTATTATTTTTGCTATTCTGTATTGTATTCAGCTAATGGCGGATCGTCACGATTTCGTCCCTCTAATTCTTGTAATAAAACCACGGTGTCAGTTCACTTAATCTGTAGTAATCATTAGCCCACGATACCCCATCAAATACTGGGCGAAACATTGGTCCTTCGAGCCGGATTGCACCAAGTAAACAAGGAGATTAGCCACAGTCGTCGATCACAAAAGGATCGATCGAACGCACGCATCTCAGAGGGACAAAGGCGAGCCTTGGCGAGTACAAGCATCATTCTGTGTTGAAAGGAAGGTGAGTTGCCGGCCTTGTGAAAAGCGCACTTCTTTCGATATCTCACGAAGCAAGATTGGTCACCTCGAGAGGAAGCAATAAATCGTCGCCTAGGCGCGAAATTATAGCGTCGACCATCTTGATTGGGAGACGCTAATACACCTCTCACTCTTTCTCGCTCTCCGGTTGGATGGCGAGACGGCCGACAAATAACGGCTTCAACTACGACAGCATCAGGAAGGAAGACACGGCCTTCGTTTATCGTCAGGACCATCATTCCCTCCCACTGAAACGACTGTCGGCGAGCCAACGCGTAACAGAGGATCCCTGTACTGCGCGCTCTCTCTCTCTCTTTCTCCCGCACGAGCGGTAGCGAAACTTCATTAGAGTAAAGATGGCTATGTCTGAAGTAAGTAAATTAGTTAATAGTCGAGGGAGAATTAAAGCAAAATTGACAGCGTTTAATACATATCTCGAGAAAGCGGCGACAGATTCTGCGAAACTCGCGGAATTGCCTAGCAGGTTAGAGCGGGCTGTAAGGCTCTGGGATGAGTTTGATGGTATTCAAGATCAAATCGAAGAGTTAGATGCCACGGATGCGCAGATCCGTGAAAGAGAAAATTTTGAAAATTCCTATCATGCCATCATAACCTCGACCAGGGCACTTCAGTCACGTCAAGATCGGGTAAATCAATCAAGCCCAATGGGTTCCATTTCCGAAAGATCAGGGGGTGATCGGCAAATTCATATTGTTAATCAACCAACCATTGTAAAATTGCCGGACATAGAACTGCCAAAATTCGATGGTAGCTATAATAAATGGATTTCTTTTCGCGAACTATTTGAATCTCTCATAGATGCTGATCCTTCCCTACCAGCGGTAAAAAAGTTACATTATTTAAGGTTAGCATTAATTGGCGACGCTGCTACAATAATAAATTTATTAGAAATCACAGGCAATAATTATGTAATTGCATGGAACTTACTGAAACAGAGGTACGAAAATAAACGGCTAATAGTGGAACACCATTTGTAGGAATTGCTCGACTTGACGCCTTTGACTAAAGAATCTCACATATCGTTAAGACAGCTTATCGACAGTATCTCTCAGCATATTCAGTCATTAAATTAGAACAACCAGTTGAGCACTGGAACACGATTCTCATTCACATTCTGGTGCCTAAATTAGACAAAATTACGAAAAGAGAATGGAAATTAAAGGGAACGAAAATGAATCGATTTCCGAAGCTTAACGAGTTTATAGAATTTTTGAATGCTCGCAGTGAGTTCCTAGAATCATTGTCTCACACGGGTGGTAATGTGAATTCTGTTTCCAGTGCCAACAAGACGAACAAGTCTGTTGCATGCGCATGTGTGTCTGATGAGGATTCAAGGTGTCTCATATGTCAGGGTCAACATAAAGTCGGCGACTGTAATATATTCTGCAAATGGCCGCCATCGAAGGGCTTCACTGAGGTTAAGGGAAAACGGCTATGCATCAAGTGTCTCAAAGAATATCATGGTCGAAATTGTAAGGTGTCAGGATGCAAAACTTGTAAGGGATATCACAACACTCTTCTACATGTGGAAAATTGGAATCCGTCCAAAGCCGCCGTCGAGGAAAACGTGTCGGGATCAGCAGGATCGACTAAAACAGTGGCAGATAAACAGACAATCGCAGCCATTACTCAAACTTCGACAACTACTGTCACGCATTGTGCCACTAAGGGACCGGAGCAAGTCATTTTGTCTACAGCCATAATCTACATAAAGGACAAATTTGACGCCTGGCACGAGTGCCGCGCTCTCTTAGATAGTGGCTCCCAATCCAATTTTATGACATGTAAGCTCAGTGATCAGCTTCAATTATCCAAGCATCGAGCCTCGATTACTATAGCTGGCATTAATGAGACCTTACTAAAAGTTGGGCAGCAAGTGACCGCCACAATCCGATCATGTCACAATGCCTTCCAAGTGACGCTCCTTTTCCTAACCATTAACAGAATAACGGAGAAATTGCCACTAAATTGCATAAGTACAGAGGAAGTCAAAATTCCAGATGGAGTGACTTTAGCCGACCCCGCATTCCATACACCTGCCGAGGTGGATATATTACTGGGAGCAAGCATTTTCTGGGACCTCCTATGCATTGGACAAGTTAGATTATCCAGGCATCAACCCATCTTTCAAAAGACTCAACTTGGGTGGATAATATCCGGATCAACGAAAGTCAGTGAAGTTGCAATGGTGAAAACAGGTTACTGTGGATTTTCGTCGGAACAAATGCTAAGTGATCAGGTACAGAAATTTTGGCAAATGGAAGAAATCCAATCAAGCCATCAGTTGTCGCCAGAAGAGACACGATGTGAAGAACATTACATGAGTACCGTCAGTCGAGCCGATGACGGCAAATTTGTCGTACAATTACCGTTAAAATTGGATCCGTCAAACCTAGGGGCGTCATTCGACACAGCCAAGAAGCGATTGCAAGCAGTCGAGCGAAAGCTAGTCCGGGTCAGCCACTTAAAGGAACAATATCACGAATTTATGCGGGCATATTTACAGTTAGGGCACATGTCCAAGGTCGAAGAGGCGGAGGCGCTGACCGAACGAGCACATTATCTTCCACATCATGCAGTGGTTAAAGCTGAAAGCACTACGACTAAAGTCAGAGTCGTTTTTGACGCGTTCTGTCCTACAACATCAGGAAAATCCTTAAACGATCTCATGATGGTGGGACCTACCATTCAAGATGAGCTGTTCTGCATTCTCTTGCGTCTGCGTCAACATAAGTACGCCATGTCAGCCGATATTACAAAAATGTATCGGCAAATCTGGCTGCATGAGTCTCAACGCCATCTCCAATGGATTATGTGGAGATGGGCCCCCGACGAACCTATATGCATCTTTCAGCTGAATACCGTCACATATGGAACAGCAAGCGCTCCATACCTGGCGATAAGATGCTTAGTGGAAACTGCACGACAATATCAAAGTGAAAATCCTGCGGTTTCTAAAGTCATCTCACAAGATTTCTATGTAGACGACTTGTTGACGGGCAAGGACGACGCAGACGAACTTGTTCAATTACAAATAGATATTGCTCGAATATTGAAATTAACCGAATTCAAACTCAGGAAATGGAGGTCGAATTTACCAGAGCTCTGCACTCAGACAACGGAGGAACAAACAATGATTGATGAGCAAGCTAAAATACTCGGGTTGTTGTGGAACACCTCCACGGATCGCTTCTTATACAAAGCGCACATTGACGAAGGAAGTAAGAAGATTACAAAACGAAGTGTTCTGTCGAACATCTCGCAACTTTACGATCCACTCGGGCTTGTGGGTCCAGTAATAGTACAAGCAAAAATAATTCTCCAAGGATTATGGCAACTTAAATTGGGCTGGGATGAATCGATACCGCTGCAGGCCCATTCTAAGTGGATGGAATGGCGACGCAACATAGCATACATCGATGAAGTATCAGTATCCAGACGAATACTATGCGACGAACCGAAGTCCGTAGAATTACATGGATTCTGCGACGCGTCTGAAAAAGCATACGGAGCGTGTGTATATATGTGCAGCTTGGACGCACAACAAAAGCGCACAGTGAGACTAGTGTGCGCCAAATCACGGATCGCACCACTCAAGAAGACATCTTTGCCACGCTTAGAGCTTTGTGGAGCACTTTTATTAGCCAAGCTGTGCGAGAAAATAAGGAAGGCAATGACAGTTTCGGTGGATGATACACATTATTGGAGCGACTCTACTATCACTTTAGCATGGATTGCAGGTGAATCTTACCAGTGGCATACCTTCGTCGCAAATCGTGTAGCGGAAGTGCATTGACTAACGGAGAAGGATAAATGGCATCACGTGCGATCGGACCAAAATCCAGCTGATCTACTATCACGAGGAGTCCAAGAGAGCTGAAGGAAAGCCGAATATGGTGGAAAGGACCCTTATTTTTACAACAAGAAATGCAGTTTAACACTCCAAGATGTCCAGAGTTGACTGAGATACCAGAAGTCAAGAAAGCAAACATATGCTTATCAGCCGCTGAAGCCATGAAACCCGACGCAACCTTCACCCAAAAGTTCTCCTCGTTCACGAGGTTCAGAAGAGTGATCGCGTACTGTCTGCGGTTTGTTGCCAACGCGAGACTCAAAGGTTTTCAGTCGCATCTGAGAAGGATTGGAGCATTATCAGTGCAGGAAATAGAGGATAGCACACTAGTCATTATCAAACAGGTCCAAGCCGCAGAATTTGCTGACGAATTGGGATGCCTCCAAGCTGGACTTCAAATAAATCACAAAAGTAAACTACGAGATTTGTATCCCTTCCTAGACTCAAAGGATCGCATTAGAGTAGGAGGGAGACTCAGTCGTGCTCCGCAAGTGCCATATCAGCAAAAGCATCCGATAGTGTTGCCGGGGAATCATCATATCACCGAGCTACTTATAAGACATGAACATTATCGAAATTTACACGCTGGACAGAGTGCTGTCTTGACCGCTCTGCGTATGCAATATTGGCTATTATCCGGGAGAAGCGCCGTTCGAAGGGTCCTAAGGAAATGCATTGTATGTTTCCGCTCTCGGCCAACTGGCACTAAGCAATTGATGGGTGACTTGCCTCTTTATCGGATAACACAAGCTCGACCGTTTCTCAACGTCGGAGTCGACTACGCTGGACCATTTCAAGTGAAGCTCTCTAGAAACAAAACTACGAAGGCATACGTATGTCTCTTCGTATGTCTTGCGGTTAAAGCCGTACACCTAGAGCTAGTAAACGATCAAAGCTCTTCATGTTTCCTTAACGCCTTTAAGCGCTTCATCGCGAGACGCGGACTCTGTGCTAATTTGTATTCTGATAACGGTACAAACTTCGTGGGCGCCAATAATGCGCTCAACGAGTTGACAGAATTTTTATTACAAAGAAGCACGCAAGACGACATAAAAACTTATCTTTCCGAACAAGCCATCAGTTGGCATTTCATACCGGCCTATTCCCCGCATATGGGAGGCCTTTGGGAGGCCGCAATCAAATCAGCAAAGACACACATGCACAAGGTAATAGGGCCGACCACATTAACATTTGAAGAATTGTATACGGTATTAACACAAATCGAGGCCTGCATGAATTCTCGTCCCCTTACCGTTATGTCACAGGATATAAACGACTTAAACGTTTTAACATCCGGTCATTTTATCATTGGCGAGCCGCTCACTGCGATTCCAGAGCGGGATGTATCAGACGTCATAAGTAACAAGGCTGAATAGATACGATCTCGTGGTACAACTCAAGCAACATTTTTGGAAAAGGTGGTCGCAGGAGTACATTTCGCAACTTCAACCACGAACAAAATGGAAATTTGCCAGTAAGGACAACATCCGTCCTGGGACGATGGTCTTACTAAAAAGTGAGAATACTCCTCCGATGACCTGGCCTATGGACCGTATTGTTGAAACACACCCGGACGAGGAAGGATTAGTTAGAGTAGTAACAATTCGTACGAAAAACGGTTTGTGCCAAAGAGCGATACCAAAGATTTGTTTACTGCCGATCGATGATCTAGAAGTAGAAAACACTAAGTAAGCAACCCAGCGTTAAGCGTATGTTACATAAAATGTATTCAGTATTATTAGATTTAAGATAGTAGAGTAGTGAAAGTTTAAAAAAAAAACGTTCTGTAATAATTATTTGATGGAATTAATTTTATGCTAATTATACCTTTATGTACACAGGGCCTCATACCGTCACTAATGTAATCATACCAATCACTTGTTGTAAAACCTATGTTTTTCAAGGCGGGCAGGATGTTCGCGCATTCTTGTTTATCGACTAAATGTATTATCTAATTTGCCGCGCTCATCTTACGGCGCTTTCGTTAGAAGTACGAATGGCGAGCACAGCGGCGCTACCTTCGAAGAGAGAGGAGTTCAGGGTTATTGCTATTTTTGCTATTCTGTATTGTATTCAGCTAATGGCGGATCGTCACGATTTTGTCCCTTTAATTCTTGTAATAAAACCACGGTGTCAGTTCACTTAATCTGTAGTAATCATTAGCCCACGATACCCCATCAAATACTGGGCGAAACAGCCTGTTTAGGAAATTTCATCTAGAATGTTCCTTTCTGGGCCCTTTCTAGGTCCAACGATGGCAGGTCTATTTTAGGGTATGCCTATTTGGGCCCAACGTTGACAGACCTATTTTATGGCATGCCTGTTCAGGCTCTATATGGACGTAGGGCACGCCCCGACAAAATTCTACCCGGGTACTTATTTGCATCGATGGGACACGCACTTGCTCAGCAGCGCTTCACTTCTTACGAAGAAGTACGAAAATGGCTAGATGACTGATTTGGCTCAAAAGAGCAACAATTTTTTTGGCGTGGCATCTGCAAATTGTCAGGTGGGAAAAATGTATAGCTAGCGATGGGCAATACTTCGAATAAAATATTTTTTATCATTTTCATGCAATAAACGTCTATTTTCTATTAAAAAATTCCGGTTTCATATTTACATACCTGGTACATAATCGTATGTCGTGTGAACCAATTGTACGTTAGACAGTGGAATCGAAATTGCTCGCCAAAAGGTTGGAAGGCCGATTGAATTTCATGACGTTCTAATAAAATTACGATTATTATATTTATTTTGTAATATCAATATTATTAAATTGCTTGTCAATTTAACTTGTGATATATTACATATTCCAACTTCAGAACTGTATTTCAAGATTGATAAATATTCGGTGCACAGTTTGTTTGAACTGGATATGGTAAATATATTATTAAGCATTAAGTTTATTGCTTTTTTCTTATTGTTAGTTCCAACATTTCACTGTCAATTTTCATATTAATATTTACGTTTAAATTAATTATACCTTTTTCTCAAGGTCAATTGTATCTTGTTGTTTATATTGATTAGTTTTGGGTTCTAGCACAGCATGAGCATTCTGTAAAGAAATCATTTCTGGCTTAATTATATATTAAATTAATTTATGTACTTTGATTTTTTATGCATTGAAAAGCTGCATTTTTTGTAGTTTTTGAATGATTGTAAATGAACTTTTCGAATTACACTTTCATTATTTTCTGTCATACTTACCTCTTCGTCTCCTTTCTTCCTTAAATTGCTTGAAGAATGAATATTATTTATTTTATTAGACGGTATTATGTAATTCAGTTTTGTTTGATATATCTTTTTTTTTTTAAATATGACTCAAATCAGATTTGTTTCTATTCATAATAACTCTTTCTGTAGTCTTTATAAAAAAATATACAGGATGTAAAAAAATTAGACCGACAAACTGTGAGGGTAAATAGGGGACATAAAAACAAACATATTTTGTTAATAATGTTTTCCTCTACGATGCTTCGTTTTAATACTACAGGGTACAAAATAGATAGGAATTTTATGATTTTAACAAAAAACAAACATATAAGTGGAATAATTAAATTTATTTCAATTACACATATATATTTTAATCTTCAAAAAACAATGAACAAAAAAACGGAACAAAAATGGCAAATGATTAACTCAATTTATAATAAATGTTCAAAAATTCCTCCATTTGCTTCAACACAAAGATGACATCGTCGAAACATTGATTTTCTCACATGCTCGAAGATTGCAGGAATATTCTGAACCTGATATGCTGCAGCAGTAATTCGGGCTACCAATTCTGCTTCTGTTTTAATAGGTGTCTCATAAATGAGAGTTTTCATACGCCCCCATAAATAAAAGTCAAACGAAGATAAATCTGGTGATCGGAGAAGCCATGCGATAGGACCCCCTTGGCCTATTCAGCCCTCATTAAATCTTTGGTCCAAGTAATTGCGCACAGTAGCACTAAAATGGGCAGGTGCTTCATCGTGTTGGAACCACATTTGCCTTCTTGTGACAAACGGTCTTCCATGAGTTCTGTTAAAGCTTGACAATTAACTCCCTCATATCTCTATAGTTCGAGGATTGTCCGAAGCGTCATCCACGCCATACCTTGATATTTTTACGCATTCATGTTTAGTATTAGAGTTTATATAGTTTATGTTCTTTTACACTTCCTATAATTGCTACTAGGGATGTGCGATCTCGATCCGATCTTTTAATCGATTCGCCAGTAACCGATTTTAAGGTAGATCAATTCATTTAATAAGAGATCGATCGTTCTTCGAAGCGTAGGAGCGGATTCGGAAATTCAAGATATATTTTGATATCATTTTATTCCTGTTGTTCACTGAATGTTGAACAAGGATAAAATAATATCTATATCAGGTGGTGTTTCTTAATGCTGGCAGCCCTGCCCGTTAGTTGATTCGTAACATTTCATCTTGGTCTCTTTCATTTTCTTATTTTTACCTTTAACTATCGTAGATTCTGTATCGTACTTACATCGTTCAACCGTTATCAGATTTGATTCTTATAGGCATTTAGTATAAGCATTTAGTATAGGCATTTAGTATAGGCATTAAGTATAGGCATTTAAAAACTTAAAAAGTCGTATGTTTTTATATAGTAATTTTTATTGTAATTTTGTTGCACTATTAAACAAATATGGTTTATAATATATACAATAAAAAATAGTTAATTATTTTATTGAAAATTAGTCCTATATGTCGTGTTCCAAAGAATCTAAAGTTATAATATCATTACTGTACCTACATTGCCTGCATTTACACGTTACTGGTTAACATTAATCGGGTTTAATAATATCCGTAGTTACAACTAGTAATTACTACTGACAAAATGTTTAAATAAATACTAGTTAAATTCTAATTTATACTGACATAATTTATATTGACACTGACAGTTGTTATCAAATTGAATTTATATACGATATTTTACCGATTTTATATTAGTAATTGATTTATGTCAACTACAGATGTTAGATTGAACCTAGATTTTTATTTTAAATTAAAATTATTTTACTCGGAGACAAATCAGAATCATGTTTTAATTGTTTTTGTTGAATTTCTACAATCGCAGTGAGAAATCATCAAATTGTCATCGATTTGATGTCTATTCCATTGATATTTCTCGTGAGATCGCACAAAAAAATTTTAATTGAATCGATCTTCAATAGATCGATTCATTCAGGTCCGATCTTTTAATAGATCGATTTCAATCAACCCGATTTTAAATCGATTCAAAAATCGATACAATTAATGGAGATCGCACATCCCTAATTGTTACTACTTCCGTTCGCGACTTCTTTTTTCATTGTAACACTTTCACCGAGAGTCATATTGTGTATAATTAAAACGAAATAAAAGCTCTATTGTGATAAACCTTTGTCGGTTAGCTTACACCCAGAATCCGAGACCCCCGCAAACTCTAACAAGTTCTGACAAAACTTCCTCGAGAAAAATACGATAAATATTGCCATTCAATCGTAAAGGAAAAATGTACGGCCCGATAAGGAAGTTATTGATAATACCTGCCCATATATTAACTGTAAATTCTTCTTGATGTGATCGAATAAATGTAGCATGATTATTATCCTCACTTCAAACGTGAGTGTTGTGAGTGTTAAACATACCTGTCCTTGTGAAGCTTGCTTCGTCAGTAAATAGTATTAAAGAAGAAAATTCGGGGTGTGTTTCACACTGCTGCAAATACCATCGCGCAAATTCTAAACGTCGTGGATAGTCTTCAAATTTTAAACCTTGTACACGTTGCCGATGAAATGGATGTAATAATTGTTCCTGAAAAACATTCCATGTTATATGAAATACATTCATGTTACTTGTTCCAATATTAAATGCAATTGCACGTGTACTGGAAGCATTGTTTTCTATTTCTACCAAAACTTGCTCTTCAAATCGTAGAGTTCTCACTGGACGTCGTCGTTCTTGTCCATTTGATCTTCTAAAAGAACCATTCCCTCGCAAATGTCGATGAATGGATTCGAAAATGGAATGATGTGGAATGCGGCGACCAGGATATCGTTGTTGTCTCTGTGCTGCCCGTCCATTGCAATTAGCTGTTCCATAAGTAAGATGCATGTCACTCAATTCAATCCAAGTATATCGCTCCATAATGATATACAAATCACATCCAATTTATTAAGATATAATTGAAGATTTCTGCTCCATTGAGCGCTTGAATATATACTACGTAGACTAAGACCAAACGAAATATCGTAGAGAGAAATATTAACAAAAAATGTTTATGTTGAAGTCCTCTGTTTCTCCTCAATACCCTTGTGATGCACGCTTTACTAATAAACAGTATACAGGGGAAACAGAGGACTGCAACATAAACATTTTATGTTGAA